CTCTTGATGAAAGTGAAAGAGGAGAGTGAAAAAGTTGGCTTAAAGCTCAACATTCAGAAAACTAAGATCATGGCATCTGATCCCATCACTTCATGGGAAATAGATGGGGAAAGATTGGATACAGAGTCAGACTTTATTTCTTGGGCTCCAAAATTACTGCAGACGGTGATTGCAGCAATGAAATTAAAAGATGCTTACTCCTTGTAAGGAAAGTTATGACCAACCTAGACAGTATATTAAAAAGCAGAGACACTACTTTGCCAACAAAGGTCCATCTATTCAAGGCTATGGTTTTTCCAGTGGTCATGTATGGATGTGAGAGTTGGACTGTGAAGAAACCTGCCTGAGCACCAAAAAATTGATGCTTTTGAACTGTGGTGTTGGAGAAGACTCTTGAGAGTCCCTTGGACTGCAAGGAGATTCAACCAGTGCATCCTAAAGGAGATCAGTCCTGGGTGTTCATTTGAAGGACTGATGCTGAAGCTGAAACTCCAGTACTTTGGCCACCTCATGTGAAGAGTTGACTGATTGGAAAAGATCCTGATGCTGGGAGGGATTGAGGGCAGGAGGAGAAGCGGGCGACAGAGGATTAGATGGCTGCATGGCATCACCGACTCAATGGACATTAATTTGAGTAAACTTGGAGTTGGTGATGGACAGGGAGGCCTGGTGTGCTGAGATTCATGGGGTCTCAAAGAGCCGGACATGACTGAGCAACTGAACTGAACTGAACTGAGAGAGCCCACTTGTCAAGTTGAGAGAAGGTTCAGAGTCAGTGTCACTGTTGAATGCTGATCCTCTACCATCTGACATGTTGGTTGATACAAGTTGCAGCCAAGTCTTTCAGGCCTGGCTCCCAGGACACACCAACATGTCCATTATAGGAGGTTATTCTATGGAGATTTGGCTTCCTGAGCATCTGCTCACTCAGCTGTCCCTGCTGCATTTTGCAAGAACTAACTTTTATATCTACTTGTTAAGCATACAGTCATTCTCATAGGTACTGGATCAGATTAGATTATCTGCTCTTGAAGAATTTACAGGATTCTCCACCTTTCCAGGCTCTAAAATCTCATCCAGGATAGATAGAGACTTTCCTTTTTAGACTATGAAAATTAACAGGAGTGATTCATTTGCATCCAAGCAATAGAGAATTTCACACCCTCCTCCAAGGAAGTCTTTAAGGATTCCTTTCCAAGTTAATTAATCTCTTCCCCTTTAACTTAATCACAAGTACTGTCCTTTGCTTCAGCAAAGGGATTGGATTGCCTCTGCAGAATCATTCCCTGGGGGAAAATGACTCTATTTTTCTTTTGTTTTGCTTTTTAGGGATAATGTTGGTGGTAGAAGGATCAAGGAGATGATTTCCCTGCTTTAGCAATAATTTTAGATAAGCTGAATTATGTCACTTTTCCAGGTATAACAGAGGTGAAAAGAAGTGTTTTGTGAAAAGACAGTTGAAGGCATACATACATGTTCATTTAAGATGATCATTCTTATATGTAAATGAAATAATAGACATGCTATTTGAAGGACATATCAAAATTGTCTTTTCTATGTTTATCTCACTGATTGATTTCCTGTAAATGTTTGTGATTCTTTTACATTATTTAAGGCATGGTATCTCTTTAAAAGGACTTCCCCAGTGGTTCAGATGGTAAGAAATCTGTCTGGAATGCAAGAGACCCAGGTTCTTGCAATCCCTGAGTCAGGAAGATCAAGATATCCTTTAGAGTAAAGGCATTCTGTGAAAACAATAACGGTACCAGTACTAGCAGATCAAAAGTTTCATACTTTTTTTTTCCCCCTTTTAGGACAATAGAGATAAATAGTCTTTAAGAAGTATTCCCTAGAAATAAGGATTGTTAAATTGTAGGAAGGCATGGTGGGTCACCTTCCCTTCCTCCACAAGGGGGCCAAAGTGTATTATTTTGATCCAGAATATAATACGTGCACATACTAAATAGCATTAGACACTTTTCATGCAATTTCATTTAAACATTTTAATAGTTTTATGCTACAGATATTGGTATAGCAATTCACTTCAGGAGAAAGTCTCAAAGGTATTATGTAACCTTTCACAGTTCACGCAACCTGCAGTTGATTCAGATGGTGTTCAAACTCTGGTCAAGCTGATCACCATCTCATTTCCTTCATCATATGCTATACACTTCACCATGAAAAACACTTCTTTTAAAAATGACTAAAATATTCCTTCATGTTTTATAAACTGTTTTGTTACAAGTCAGTAAATTTTCACAGCAATCTGTTGAAATATCTAGAACTATTGCCATCCCCATATTACAGGTGAAGAAAAAGATGTTTTGAGAAAGTTTATTCACTTGACTGAGATCCCTCAGCTGGTAAAGCATGGAAGACAAAGATCTAGCTGCCCCCAAAGCCTCTGTATCAGCATGTTAGGAGAGATCTATTGATGCCAAAAGTTTGGCTTCTCTGTACATCATTGTCAATCAAATCTCAGAGATGTAAGATTTCAGAATAAGAAAGAATATCTTTATCACTTTGCCAGGCAAAGGGGGCCACAATGGGCTAATGCCTTCAAAACCATGTGCCCCAACTTGAGGAAGACTGTGAGAAGTTTTATAGTAATTGTTCAAAAAGGGCATGATCAGCTTCTGGACATTCTTTTGATGAGTTGGTGGTGAGGTAAGTAGGAGTCAGCATCATCAGCCTTCAGTTTTAATGGGTCTACATGTTTGTGGGCAACATACCATCATTAACCATTAATTTATCCCACCTGGAGGGACGTTCAGTATCTGTAAAACAGCTCAAAGATACTGCTGTGTGTATCCTTTGATGAGGAGCTAGGCTCTTGTCCCAAGGCTGCTCTTTGCTGTTTCTCCCTGGTCTTGTATTCCTTCTCTTCATTAATTAACAACTGCTTGAATATGTGCATTGGAATTCAGGAAGGTCATGGAGGCTGAATGAAGGTTGTTTCCTATAATCAAAGAAACAGGGTCAGAGAAAGGCCTACTGCCCAGGAACCACATGGCCAGGTAAGAATAGAATAAGATGAAACATGAAACTGTCTCTTCAGACTTGTTTAGACCTGTAAAAATATAAAAGAATCATAACTATAAAATATACCCTAGTTTTCTTTTCACAACTTCAAGCACATTTTTGGACCAATATCATCATTCATTAGTAAGTTTTAGGACAGAACTATTGGGATAACATGGTGTTATCACTGACAGCTTTGTGCATTAACTAGTCTTTATAGAGTTATTTTGATTTTTTGCTTGTTTGTTTGTTTTGGTTTTGCGTAGCTGGCATTTTGTAGGTGTGTGTGTGTGACCTTGTCATCTCTTTAAAGCAATGACAATCCATGCAACTACAAGCGATCAGGGACTATAAAGAGTACATATTTGGTCATTCAGATAGCCAAACTATATTTTTAATATATTTGATCTTCATTCATGGTTCTTGATTCACAGCTCCTCAAATCCTTGGGATTTCCTCAGTGATAAAAGCAAAGAAATCATCTTTTTAAAATAATATTTGCTTTCTTGTCTTCAGTTGCTGAAATGCTTTAGGACCATAAAGACAGAGTATGTCTCTTGTTATTCATAAGAAGCCCCCGTTTTTTTCACTGTAATTGTGTTTCTGTTAATGAGGAAACTTTTGCAAAGCATCTAGGAGGGGTACTGGTTGCCAAGGAACCAAGCTGAAATAAAGGGTTGGGGCTTTCAGTTCAACCCCTTGGATTCCAGGGACTGGAGGAAATTGAGAGTTGGAGTCAATCACCAGCGGCTGATAATTAACCTTGCCTCGACTCAATGGGCATGAGTTTGAGTGTACTCCGGGAGCTGGTGATGGACAGGGAGGCCTGGCATGCTGTGATTCATGGGATGGCAAAGAGTCAGACATGACTGAGTGACTGAACTGAACTGAACTGATGTAATGAAGCTTCCATAAAACCTGAAAGAGCTTCTTCAAAGAGCTTCCAGGCTGGGAAACCAGAACACTTCTGTATGTCACCATGTTGGTCTCAGCTTCCAGAAAGACGAAGCTCCTTTAGTTGTAACCTCACCCCATTTAGTCTTCATCGGGATGTTGATTCCCATCCTTCAACATGCTCTGTAATAAACCAGTAATCTAGTGTGTAAGCAGGTTTCCCAAGTTTTGTGAAACACCCTAGGAAATCAATCAAATTCATGGAGGAGGAGCCTGGGAACCTCTAATGTATAACCAGAGGTTAACAGACTGAGATTGTGACTGGGTCTGAAGTGAAGAACCGTCTTGGGTTGGGCCCTTTATCTGTAGTGTCTGATGCTATCTGTGGATTGATACTGTCTGGACTTATTTAGTTGAATTCTTGGACACCCAACTGATTGTAATTGGTGACCATAATCCAAAGACTTAGTTTAGAGGGCAAGATGGTGGATTCTTTTTTCTCGAAGTTGTATAATGTGCTTTACTAACTTGGAGAAGGGTAGGCACTTCAATGCTTCCTCTCATCCTTGTGAGCAAATTAAGGGAGTAAATGAAGCATATTATTTTTCCTGTGGTTGAGAAGTAGCTGGATCAGTTTACTTTTACTGGGATTTAGTAGACATTTAACAACATATTACCCTTTTAGCCCATTGCTAACATGTTAAATACAAAGATAAACAAAAATTAACATGTTATAAACACACCTGTATTTAAAGTACAGTCAGAGAAAATATAAAATGCAGATTGTTGTTGATCTTTCAGGAGTTATTATCCCTTTCATGGAATCCAGCCTGTACATTTATGAAGTGTCTGAGTTTCCCTTTCGCTTCATAATTTTACTCAATGAAAGAATCATAAAGAACTTACCATGGTGTCGGCAGTGCAGCTTCTAAAACTCCAACCTTCAGGACTACCAGATTTCCTTCTCCACCATTCATCAAATCAGCTCCCTGTGGGAAAAAAAAAATCATATTTTATGTGAAGGAAAATTTTAAAATAAAAAATTTTCTCTGCCTTTAGTCCTCCTCTTTCCCCTCTTTTAAAGTGCCTTGTGTATCACTCCATGTAAACAAATCTCCCCATTGGCAGAGATATCTGTTCAACCATGAAGAATAACATTCTTGTAGTGTCAACAAGACAACTCCTTAAAAGGTAACACTCCTTCTTGATCTTGTAAGGGGTAACGATGACCTACCACTTTGTACTTGCAGATCTGATTATATAAACTGTCAGTAATATGTCATTTAATGTACAGCTCTCTTTCTCAAAAAACATATAACTGTGTCTTGACTTCTAATGGGCAAAAGAGTTCTTAGAGCTTTCTGAGATGTTGTTCCTAGGTTATAATACTCAACTTGGCATGAGTGAAATTTTCCACTTCTTTCCTACATTAACTGATTAATTTTTCTAATGAAATCTCCATAAAATCATTCTTGACCTCCATGCTGCAAAGTCCAGTTAGCAGTGTTCTCTTCCTGTCTTGTACTCTTAACATCATGCCATAATCTTGGTTTTCTGCCCTTTCTTCTAATGGTTCATCCTCAGTTGCCTTTATCAACTCCTTTCTATTCAAATAATAAATACTAGAATTACTCAGGTGTATTCATGGTCTCAGCTCAGATGGTAAAGCGTCTGCCTACAATGCAGGAGATGTGGGTTTGATCCCTGGGTCGGGAAGATCCCCTGGAGAAGGAAATGGCAGCCTAATCCAATATTCTTGCCTGGAAAATCCCATGGACTGAGGAGCCTGGTAGCCTACAGTCCATGGGATCACAAAGAGTTGGACACAACTGAGAGACTTCACTCACTCACTCATTCATGGTCTCAAATTTTCATTTTATCACCCATATTAGCTCTTTAGAGCCAAAGGATACTTTCCCTGATTTATCTCTGCTTCAAAAGTACTGGTATTTGACACAGATGTTTTGCAGTCATGCTTTAAGAGATTTGCAGTGGTCAATGCCCTAAACTGACTTTGCCTTGGCCACAGGAAGATGCTTGTATAGAGGAGACTTGATGGTATCTGCAAGTTACCTTTGCTGCATTACCTTGCTGCATCACCTTGCTGCATCACCATGCTAAGTTCTCAGATTCATACTCTGCTGGGCACAGTTTCTGCCATATGCAAAGAAGCCTGGAAGACTGCATGTGCCCCAGCTGCCCCAGGCTGCCCCTGGAAATTTTTGCCTCTTTTCTAGAGCCCTGGTGACAGGTGTGCCTCTTACCCTTTAAAACTCCCTTTCTCCCCTTCCTTTGGGGAGAAGGTATTTTTAGAATACAAGCTCTTCCTTCTCTATTCTTTGATCAGTGAATAAAATTTGTGCTTTTGTATACTGAACCTGGTTTCTTTGACTTGCATTTGTTTCTCCAGGTAAAGGACACATTAAAGGGTCATAGACCCATTGGGGATAGGTAACAATTTACAGCTATGCCTCTTCTTCATCATTTGAATGATTCACAGTGCTTTCAAACCAAATTATTGACCTACCACAACTAGCTCTTTCTATTTTCCTCCTATTTTGATCATCTCAGTAAGTGGCAACTTCATCTAGCCATTGTCAAATTGTGAAATCTGGGTGTTATCCCTAGCATACATCCCTTTTCATGTGCCTCATCCATTCCACTGCATCTATCTTCATTTCTACATGAAAAATATTTTTGTATCTAACCAGCTGTCTTCACCTCCATTATACCTACACCATTTACACTTCTAATCTAGATGATTAGAAAAGCTTTCTATTTGGATATACCGCTTATATTCCCTCCACACTTAGCAGCCTGAGTTGTTTTTACAAATTATCTTTTGTATCACTCTTTCCTCCCACATTACAACTCCCCCTGTGCAGTCAATCTCTTCTTCCCATTCACTCCCTAGATAACTCTAAATCACCTTTCATCTCTCAAATCAAATGTTAGTTCTTGAGAAAGACTTCTACCCTCACAATATAAATTAAATCTTTCTCATTACAATATTTCACAGAACCTTTGTGACATTTAAATGTAATATAAAATGATGTTGAATGGTACTTACCATGAAGTTTCAGTTGAAGCCTGGATATGAGCATAGGGTACTGTACCCTTACATTCTAAAGGAAATTTCAGGACTTACTAAAAATATTAATATTAGTTCTTCAGCCATCAACATTTTCCACCAAACTTTAGGGGCAAAAAGTAGAGGAAGAAAAGAAATAAAAGGGGGGAAAATATTTTAAGACCCAATGAGCATAAATTTCCTTCCTTCTTTGTAAAGGAGTAGAGTTTGTTCCATAATACCAAGTCAATATGGGGAGTTAAAAGATCATTTGATGACTTTGAAGATTAAAGAGATTAGATACTTAGAAGGCAACATGTACTACAATACAAATGGATCATTAATGAAATACACTTTAAAAATGCTTTTCTTTTTTTTTCCCATCTATGTAACATTCTTTTTTTTAAATTTATTTATTTTAATTGGAAGCTAGTTACTTTACAGTATTGTGGTGGTTTTTGCCATACATTGACATGAATCCATCATGGGTGTACATGTGCTAAAATTTATTTATTTTAATTGGAAGCTAGTTACTTTACAGTATTGTGGTGGTTTTTGCCATACATTGACATGAATCCATCATGGGTGTACATGTGCTCTCCATCCTGAACCCCCTCCCACCTCCTTCCCCATCCCATCCCTCAGGGTCATCCCAGTGCACCAGCCCTGAGCACCCTGTCTCATGCATCGAACTTGGACTGGTGATCTATTCCACATGTGATAATATACATGTTTCAATACTATGCTCTCAAATCATCCCACCCTCACCTTATCCCAGAGTCCAAAAGACTGTTCTATACATCTGTGTCTCTTTTTCTGTCTCATATATAGGGTCATCACTACCATCTTTCTAAATTCCATACATATGCATTAATATACCATATTGGTGTTTTTCTTTCTGACTTACTTCACTCTGTATAATAGGCTCCAGTTTCATCCACCTCATTAGAACTGATTCAAATGCATTCTTTTTAATGGCTGAGTAATATTCCATTGTGTATACATACCACAGTTTTCTTATCCATATGTCTGCCGATGGGCATATAGGTTGCTTCCATGTCCTGGCTGGCTATTTTAAACAGTGCTGCAATGAACATTAGGATATGAGACCTATATCTAATAGCAAACAAATGGAAGAAACAGAAAATAATGTGAGCTGAAATCAGAATTATAAGTGGTGTTTAAAAAGCCTCTGGAAAAAAAAATAAAAAATAAATAAAATGCCTCTGAAAGCCAAAGATGCTCAACCCGACACTTTTAACACTGAAAGGAGCTCAAGAGGTCCTGTATTTGTTATACTCTCCTGGAAGAAGCAAGTAAAATCTTCTTTGGGGGAAAGTATCTCCATAAACTGGGCTTACCAGATAGAGCTAATGGTAAAGAACTCACCTGCTAATGCAAGAAATATAAAAGGAGGGCATGGCAACCAATTCCAATATTCTTGCCAGGAAAATCCTATGGAGAGAGGAGCCTGGTGTGCAATGGTCCAGAGGGTCATAAACAGCCAGACACAATCTCCATGATGCACATGCTAAGTCATCAGGACGCTTTTGTGACTGCATGGACTGCAGCCTGCCAGCTTCCTCTGTCCAGGAGATTTCCCAGGCAAAAATACTTGGAGTGGCTTGCCATTCCCTCCTCCAGGGAATCTCCCTGACCCAACAATGGAAGTCGAGTCTCATGCATTGGCAGGAGGGTTCTTTACCACTAAGCCACAAGGGAGACGATCCCAAAAACTCAATAACAATAGCTGTAGTCACTGAAGATGTTGATCCTCCCCTTCAAAGTCTCCCTTCCATAGTTCAGGCCTGGGAGAATCCAGAGCAGAAGAGGAAATTTAAAAAATAAGGCATGAGTGAACAAAAAAGAAGAGATATTTTGTTACATGTACTACTAGATATGAGAATTTGGACTGAATTTGAGATTTTGACTGCATCAGATGTTCTAATGTCTAACATAAGACTATTCTAGCTCAAAGAGACCTGAAATCTATGGACCTTATTGAGATGCTCTTATCAATGACTGAGGAAGTTTGGTTCATCAGAATATGTTTAATGCCAGTAGTGAAAGAAAAATAAAGCTATACTCTAACCTGTCCAACAAATATCTGTCCATTCAGTAAAATATTGTGTATATTTCTAAGTGTTTTTCTTTAATATTTATTTCTCTTGATAGATTACAAATTCCTGTAAGGGCAGGAGCCATGTCTGACACCTTCATCAACAAATGTTGACTTGGTAAATATATTTTTTTAAATAATGATTTCAAATCAGGTTACAGAATGCAAGTAAATGTCTCAAGAAAATCACCAGAAAAAAAAAAAAAAAACACTGGTCCCAAGGTGAGTTCTTATTCATATTTCTATTTCTCCAAACAGTGAAAGAAGAGTGGTCATGACAAAACAGTGATATAGACATCCTGCACCACTGGGAAGCCTGGTGGTTAGTGCTGTGAAGGAGACAAGGCAGGACCTGGAGGGGGAGCCACAGGATCTGAGGCCACTGTTCCCAGTGCTTTCCTGGATGAAAGTGTGAGACCTGTGTAACACCCTCCCAGGTGGACTCTATTGCTGAGCCACCTACTGGAAAACAGAAGAATACAGGTAGGAGATCAAGCCCTGAGCTTTTGGACTGGGAGAACTGACTTCATGACCCTAGAATACCAAAGAATTAACCCTACAGAGTATCAAACAGTGAGAATGCTTACAAAGGAAACCACTTGAATACAAGACCCAGCATCACCTAACCGTCAGTAGCAACCTGTGCAGAATGCCTCATCTAAACAATGAACAAAAATACAAACTCAGTCACCAGCAGACAGGATTACTCCCTCACTCAACCTTGCCCATCTGAATAAAAACTAGCAAACAAACAAAAACTCAGCACAAATCTCGCCCTATACTAAGCTTACACAAACCAATGGACCAACCTTAGGAGGGAAGAAACCAAAAGAAAGAAAGAATTCAACCTTGAAGCCTGGGAAAATTAGGCCTCAAACACAATAAGTTTAAAAAAAAAATTAAGAGGCAGAGAAATATTACACAAATGAAGGAACAAACTAGAAACACAGAAGTCCCAAAAAATGAAGAGGAAATAGGCAAACTACCCGAAAAATAATTCAGAATAATGGTAGTAAAGATGATCAAAAACCTTGAAAACAGAATGGAGAAAATGCAAGAATCAATTTAAAAACACCTAGAAGAATTAAATAATAAACATACAGAGACAAACAGCACAATTACTGAAATTAAAAACACTCTAGAAGGAATCAATAGCAGAATATCTTAAGCAGAAGGGCAAATCAGTTAGCTGGAAGATAAAATGGTGAAAATAACTTCTGAAGAGAAGAATAAAGTAAAAGAATGAAAAGAACTGAGGGCCGTCTCAGAGACCTCTAGGACAATATCAAATGCACCAACATTCAAATTTTAGGGGTCCCAGAAGAAGAGAAAAAGAAAGGGTATGAGAACATTTTTGAAGAGATTATAGTTGAAAATTTCCCCACCATGGAAAAGGAAATAGTCAATCAAGCCTAAGAGGCACAAAGAGTCCCATACAACATAAACCCAAGGAGAAACACACCAAGACACATACTAATCAATAACAAAGACTAAACATAAAGAAAGAATCTTAAAAGCAGCAAGGGAGAAGTGATAAGTAACATACAAGGGAAACCCCACATGTTTAACAGCTGATCTTTCAGCAGAAACTCTGCAGGCAGAAGGGAATGGCAGGACATATTTAAAGGACTGAAAGGAAAAAATCTACAACCAAGATCACTGTACCAGGCAAGGATTTCATTCAAAATTGATGGAGAAATAAAGAGATTTTTCAGACAAGTGAAAGTTAAGAGAATTCACTACCAACAAACCAGCTTTACAACAAACGTTAAAGGGACTTATATAGTCAAGAAATACAAAAGGAGGAAAAAGATCTACAAACTCAACCCCAAACAATTAGGAAAATGGCAATAGGAACATATATATCAATAATTACTTTAAACATAAATGAATTAAATTCTCCAAGNTATCTATCAATAATTACTTTAAACATAAATGAATTAAATTCTCCAAGCAGAAGACACAGACTAGCTGAATGGATCCAAAAACAAATCCATATATATGCTGTATACAAGAAACCCACATCAAACCTCAAAACACATATAGACTGAGATTGAGAGGATGGAAAAATATATTCCATACAAATGGGAAGCAAAAGAAGCTGGAGCAGCAATCCTCATATCAGACAAAATAGACCTTAAAATAAAGAAGAATATAAGAGATAAGGAAGGACACTACATAATGATCATGGGATCAATCCAAGAGGAAGACATAATAATCATAAATATCTATGCACTCAACATAGGAGCAACTCAATACATAAGACAAACACTTACAGACATAAAAGAAGAAATGACAGTAACACAATAATAGTAGGAGTCTTTAACACCCCACTCACACCAATGGACAGATCATCAAAACAGAAAATTAATAAGGACACAAAAATCTTAAATGATTCATTAGATGAGAAGAAGCTCACTGATACCTTAAGGACATTTCATCCAAATGCAAAAGGATACACCTTCTTCTCAAGTGCACATGGAACATTCTCCAGGATAGACCAATCTTTTGTCACAAATCAACCCTCAGTAAATTTAAGAAAATTGAAATTGGATCATGCATCTTTTCCAACCACAATGCTATGAGACTAGCTATCAATTACAAGAAAAAAACTATAAGAAACCCAAACACATGGAGATTAAACAACATGGTTCTAAATAACCAACAGGTTACTGAAGAAATCAAAAGGGAAATTAAAAATTTTCTAGAAACAAATGACAATGAAAACATGACAACTAAAACCTATGGGATGCAGCAAAAGCAGTTCTAACAGGGAAGTTTATAGCAAGACAATCCTACCTCAAGAAAAAAGAAAAACATGAAATAGACAACATAATTTTACACATAAAACAACTGGAAAAATAAGAACAAACAAGCAAAAAAATTAAAATTAGTAGAAGAAAAGAAATTATAAAGATCTGAGCAGAAATAAATGAAAAATAAGTGAAAGAAACAATAGGAAATATTAATAAAACTAAAAACTGGTTCTTTGAGAAGATACAATTCCAAACCTTTAGCCAGACTCATCAAGAAAAAAAGAGATAAGAATCAGATCAACATAATTAGAAATGAAAAAGGAGAAGTTATAACAGACAATGCAGAAATACAAAGGATTCCCTTGTAGTTCAGTTGGTAAAGAATATATCTGTAGTGCAGGTGACCTGGGTTTGATCCCTGGGTTGGGGAGATCCCCTGGAGAAGGAAATGGCAACCCTCTCCAGCATCCTTGCCTGGAAAATCTCATGGACAGAGGAGCCTGATGGGCTGCAGTCCATGGGGTAGCAAAGAGTCAGGCATGACTGAATGACTAACACTTACTTATTGTGAGCAACTATATGGCAATAAATTGTAGAACCTGGAAGAAATAGACAGATTCTTAGAAAAGTTCAATCTTCCAAGACTAAAATAGGGAGAAATAGAAATTATGAACAACCCAATTCCAAGGACTGAAATTGAAGCCGTGGCCCAAAATCTCCCCCAAAAACAAAAGCCTGGGACCAGATGGCTTCACAGGCAACTTCTATCAAACATTTAGAGAAGAGCTAATGCCTATCCTTCTAAACCTCTTTTTAAAAAATTGCAGAGTAAGAAACACTTCCAAACTCATTCTACAAGGCCACCATCACCTTGATACCAAAACCAGACAAAGACAACACAAATAAGGAAAACTACAGGCCAATATCACTGATGAACATAGATGCAAAAATCCTCAACAAAATTTTAGCAAACAGGATTCAGCAACACATCAAAAAGCTCATACACCATGATCAAATTGGGTTTATTCCAGGGATGCAAGGATTCTTCAGTATATGGAAATCAATCAATGTGATACACCATATTAACAAATTGAAAGATAAAAACCATATGATAATCTCAATAGATGCAGAAAAAAACCTTTGACAAGATTCATCACCCATTTATTATTAA